TTTTTTACTGTAATAAATGCTAATACTATACCAAAATTATTAAAATAATATTTTTTGAGAAACTTATAACGTTTCTACTGACAAAGATGCTCTAATTGATCTTTTGCTTGACTTAAACCCTCACATACACATGCCACCAATTTGGACTTTGTGTGAAAAGCAACGAAAAAAGGAAGAAATATATTGGTCCATGCATTTCACTCGTTTTATCTTGAAATAGTTTGGTTTGTCAAGACATATGTGAGCACAAAGTACTTACTTCAATTAATAAAGACATATGTGAGCACAAAGTTCAACTTCCATTAATAAAAAGATTTATATTATGATCTGGATTATTTTCCTCTCTTTATTTGAGAACAGCATATGGTGTTATAGAATTATAGCTTGTGCAGGATAAGATGTGCACCAAACTGTGGGTGAATGGTGACGACTGTTTGAGGCGTATGAACGTAGGAAGGAGAAAGCTCAAGGGAGAATCTCTGTAGAATCAACGCCATTGGCATTTTTGCCTCCAACAGGGCAAAGTTCTGGCCGATGCATATCCTCGGTCCCCACGCAAAAGGAAATAAGGAGACTTGGCTCTTTGTTGCCTTTGAAAGACCGTCTTTGAATCTCTCTGGATTGAACTCTGCTACTAAAAGATCAAGAGTCAAGCTCTAAAGTCCTTATATCAAACCAGATAAGTTGAGTTTTTTCATTACCTAAATCCAGGGATGAAAGCTTTCCTAAAAGCTTGAATGATGAGCTGTGCTAGTTCTGCTTGGAGCTCAAAGATCCTCTGCCCTTCTTTGTAGCTTCTGCCAAAAGCAGTACGAGAGATCACATCTGCAGTCATACTCACAAGTCCAGGCCAAACGTCTACCTCATATGACGACCCCTTATCCGACACTAACTTGTCCCATTCACCAACAACCCCGCTGCAGCTTTGGTGGAACGCAGGTACCATATTCTAAACATAGAAGCACAAATTTGGGTGGGTCAGAGCCAAATGAAGACACAAAAACTTGATACATGACTAAAAAGAAAGCATTTTTTTTGTCCTAGAGAAGAGAGAAAAGTGAGAGAGATTAGGTAGATTATTTGCTAAAAATTCTCGGAACTTAAAGGTTGAAAATTTCGGAGAAGATATGGATGTGGTGATGAGTGATGACATCAACCCAGATGTCTTAGTTCACAGTCACATGCTATGAAGCCGTAAGAAACAAAATTTGACGTGTGTGAAAAGCCACAAAAAGAGGAAGAACTTTATAGGTAAGGTAATGAATTGAGTGTCGGCTTCGGTATTGAAGTGGAGGTACATTAGATAAAACTGGAACGATACAAAAAACAAAGAAAAAAGATTAGCATGGTCTTTGCATAAGAATGACACAGAAATCAATAATTGGTTGCACAAAATAAGGAATCATAATGAGAAACTGCTTCTGTTGTTCTATCACAATAACATTGAAATCATAGAGGACATGTGAATCTACTTTAAGCTATATTCAAGAAGGACGTTTTCTACTTCTTCTACTTCTGCATTGCCTGCAAATCGATTTAAAGACATGGTTTTGCTCTGTTGGTGTTGTTTAAAACTTTAAAAGATGTGTAAGCAAAGCAATTAGAAGATGCCAACATTAGAAAAAGGCGGAAAAACGGTCTATTTCCCCCCGAGAAGTATCGCATCATAACAGATAGAGCTCAATCTTTGACCCCGGTCCTAATGTCCCTGAAATGGAAGTTCAACACCTAAATGTCCCCGAATCGAAAGTTCAACACTTAAATGTCCCTGAATCTGGGTATCGTCGGTTTTAGCTGTAAACCCGAGACCAAACCATGTATTCCCAAAACCAAACCGATTAAATATCCGATTATATCCCGTAACCCGACCCAGTCTCGAATTCATATTTCCCAGATTCGATTTCAAAACCTCACAATCCCCAAATTTAGAACCCTAAATTCCAAATCCCCAATTTCGATTTCAAACCCCAATAATTATCAAAGTTCTTCAATAATTCAACAACACAATCATAATTTGATAGCTAAAGAAATACAAATCAATAATTTCATAATAATCTGCTCATAAACCAACAAATCTCATGTTGCTCCATGGAAACTTCGTCGTTCCCGCCGCCGTTGCCCCAACACCAATCCTCGTCGAAGAATCAGCTCTTACACCACCACCACAACCTTTACCTTTACCATAACCGCCGATTTCCCTCTTCTCCTTGCGATCAAGCCAATGATGATACTTGTTATCATCTTCTTCCTCAACAAAGCTAGATCTTTTCACTTTACTCTTCTTCTTCTTCCCATCCATGTTCAGGTATTCATCTTCACCACATCGAATCCATAAAAAACAGAGTTTGAAGAGAACTTATAAAATCACGTATTCACGATAAAAAAAACCCCAATTTGAAGTTTCACAAAAGCAATTGTCTACAATGAGTGAGTTACAGAAATCAATCGAATTGAAGT